AACTACATCAACACGATCCCTGATGACTATTTCAAGGTGTCTCCCAAGCTGCTCTATGTAAGGATGTCCCACAACAGCCTGACAAACCAAGGGCTCTCTACCAACACTTTCAACAGCAGCAGCATCCTCGAGCTGGACCTCTCCTACAACCGGCTCCAGAAGATCCCCCGGGTCAGCACCAACCTGGAGAACCTCTACCTTCAAGGGAACCAAATCAATGGTGAGCATGTCAGCCACGCGCAGTGGGGATGGGGAGGTGGGGAGGTGGGAACCGTGCTGCCCAGCATGAGGCTGTCCAGGGAACGGTTTGAGCAGGACACTGGAATTTGGCAGATCTCTGACCTCCTCGATGCAAGGCTGCAAGGCAGGAAAGGGGCTTGATCTATTGTGAGCTCTGAGATCTCCTGCGTGATGCACAGAGACATTTCTTTGGTTTTATTGAGCATCTTCTGGCTGGACATGCCAGAACTGTGGGTAGAGGCTGTTGCACAACCTGGGGAGGGGCCTCCAAGGATGAAGGGTCACCAAGAGAGCTGGGAGAGTCACTGAACATGGGAACGGGCATCACCCCTGGCACGGCTAGTGTGCAGCTGCAAGCAAACCCCACAGTGCTCAGTGGTCTGCAGCACTGGGGCCGGCGCATCCCCCTGCAGCCCCTCTGCCCTCATCGGCAGGATGCCCTGAGGTCTCCAGCTGCAGCTCTCCCAGTCTGACACCTCCAGTTTATTCTCAAGCCTTCAGTAATCCACAGGAGATGTAGCTCTGTCCTTTCCCATGTGCCAGAGGCGACTCTGATGAGCCCCACCCCTCCCCCAGCCCCTGGAAACACCCAGACCTCCCCAAGAGCCACTGCCTGCAGCTGATGGGTACGTCCTCGCCAGGGCTGTGACAGGCAACAGCTTTTAGTTTTTAGAGCATCTTCTGCCAGGACTAACATTCACTCTATTTAATACACACGCACATGTACACAAAAATAAAAGGAACGGTTGCTGTTTGCAAAATAATAATAATTAGGACAACAAGCAAACTGCATCTCCTGGAAAAATCCCCGCTTGCTTCTCTCACCTGGCAGGGCTGAGGGCAGAACCTTCAGGAGCAGTGCTGCTGCACCGGTGTAGCCATCAGTTGTTGCAGGGGAAACAACCCCACACTGAGGAACTGACAGAACACGAAAACAAGAACAGATTCCCAAATGTTTGCTTTCAACATTTGTAGCTGTTAATGTCTGCCCACAAACGCCATGAAACCGCTGTGGAGCTTTCCACGCTTGTCCGAAGCTCTGCTCCAGCTGCAGATTTGCTGCAGACCTCTGGAGCCCCGTGTGCCCTTCGGTGGAGAGTGGGGCACCCGCATCACATCTGGGTGCTGTGCAGCCCCCGGGAGACGCTGCTGCCCTCCATGTGCCCCCTCCTGCCACCAAGCCCCCGTCCCCCCGGCTCTCCTCCCGGGCTGTTTCAGACAGTGCGGAGCTGCACAGCCCCTGAGGCGCACAGGCTGAGCGCGGACGGAGAGTTCGTGCTGAGGGCTGCGCACCCCAGCGTGCCCCAGAGCCTTTCCCAGAAGCTCTCGGTCTGGAGCTTTGCTGCCCCCTAGGCGGCCGTTTCTCTCCTAAGTCCCGCACAAAAGCGAAATTTGTTCCGTATCTCCCCTGCAGACCCAGGGAGGGATGGGCCTGGGAGCCGCAGGCAGCAGTGGGTGGCAGAGAGGAGAGGGAACGCGGATGGGACGGGGACCTCCCCCCACAGACACAGTGCCTGGGTGGTCCCGCTCCCCGTCGGTGCCAGAGGGTCTGGATGCTGCAGCATGGGAAGACTCATGAACTGCAGTGACCGTTCCCTCTGAAAACTGACAGTTTTTTGTCTGACACCACCCAGCTCTGTTCTTTTATCCTACCAGGACTCCAGCTGTGCTGGGCAAAGTCACAGCTCCCAAAGCCCTGAGCACGCACAGCCTCAGCGCTGCTTTGGGCTCCAGCTGGAAGCGCCAACTGCTCTACTGCTTTAGGATGGAAAGGTGTGGAGTCCAATTTGGCTGTAAATTGCTAATTCAGGGTTGCGATCATTGTTCTACTGCCCGACCTGCGTTGGCTGGGCACCCTCTGACCCACTGCAGAACGGGGCCCTGACAGCTCTCCTTCCCCCACAGAATTCTCCATCAGCAGTTTCTGCACTGTCGTGGATGTGATGAACTACTCCCGGCTCCAGGTGCTGCGGTTGGATGGGAATGAGATCAAGCGCAACGCGATGCCCCCCGACGCCCCGCTGTGCCTGCGGCGTGCCACCGTCATCGAGATCTAGCCTGCTGCCAGCCCTGCTCCTCAGGACTCTGCTCCCTTCTTCCCGGGGAGACACTCACTCCTATTTTAATGCAGCTTGACAGTTTGACTTGGCTTCTGCAATAGTGCAATAAGGGTGCTCCAATGCCAGCCCACGCAGGGGGGCAGGATCTGCTCATCCCCAAATCCCCCCCTCCCCCCTTCTCTCCAGCCTCACAGATCCCATGTAGCCATGCCCTGGTCCGTGCAGGAGGCAGTGGGGAAGAAGGAGAGCTCATCCCATCTCTGAAATGTGGTGCTAAGCGTTCGGCTCCGGATGTGGGTCTTGCAGAACCACCCCGGTGGCTCCCCCTGGGCAAGGGTTTGGTGATCGCTTGGAGCTCAATAGGTGAAGGGTTACAGATTTCCCAAACAGCAGCATCCCTCTCTCTAGGATGGGAATAAGCAAATCTCTATCCTTACTTTACCACCTTTCCCTGAAGCTTCCTGCTGCAAATATCAAGCCAAGAGGAAAGAAATCTTTCCTGCTGCTGCCCAGCAGCCTTCAGCTGCTAAGGTCAGAGAGAAACTCCTTGAGGAGCAGCCATGGCCAGAGGGACCCTCACACCTCCCCAGGTTTTGGGACAGGCCAAGAGACGGGCACATTGCAGTGCCGTCACCCCATAGAGCTCCAGGTCCATGCCAGGAGCAGCCCTCTGTCCCTGCTGCCCCTGCCCAGGCACCAGGTGCTGCCATGAGAGCAACTGGGCCACACTCTGGGTCTGCACACAGCCGTGTCCTCCCACTCTGCCAATCCACCCCATTGCTGCGTGCCACTCAGCTGCAGCTGCCCCAGCCTAGGGAGAGCAGCCCCACAGCAGGTGAGGTTTCGAACCAGGTGGGACCCACCTGGCTTTAACAGGGGAGGGTTTCACTGCTCCCAAAGTTCTGGTGCCTAACTCCTGTACTCACCCACACTGCAGGATCTGCCCTACTCCTCCCACCCCTCCACCTGCTGGCACAGCTCAGGGCTTCCCACCTAGGGAACTGGGCTTTCCCATTAGGAATAAATGATGTAGCAGCAATGTCAGCATGGGCAGCACATCTCAATTTATCAAGAGCGGAAGCACCAACTTGGTTCCTTGGACAGGCTTACTGAGAACCAAAGGGGCAGCTGAGCTTTGAAGATGACCTGCAAAGCTGAAGAGGTCATCCAGACCCTCCGCATTTAAACTGCATGCTAACATTATAGAAACAAAAAACCAAAAAAACCTGCACTATCACCGGCGCATGAACTGTAGATGTCATACCGACGAATAAAGCCCTTTCTGTAACTGCACAAAACGTGTCTGAGGAATCCCAGCACCGCCTGGAGCCGCTCGCAGCTCAGAACCTACGATAAAGCTGCGCTGTGCATCGGCCGTCTGGTGGCTGCTGCAGGCACTGCGCTGCACTGCGGGGTTCGCAGAATGGTAGAAGTGTTGAGTTGGAAGGGATCCCTTAAGGCCATCCGGTACCACGGCCTGCAGTGCACAGGGACACCCACAGCTCCATCAGTGCTCACAGCCCCATCCCTGCTCTTGGGGGTCTCTGGGGATGGGACATCACCATGGGCAGTGCAGCACCTCACCGCCCTGACTGCAGAAGACTTTGTTCTTATATCCAACCTAAACCTCCCCTCTTTCAGTTTGAAACCATTTCCCTTCGTCCTATCACACAGACCCTGCTATAGAGTCAGACCCCTCTTTCTTACAGCCCCTTTAGAAACTGAAGAGCAGTGTCCCATCCCTAGGATCACTTCTGTGGCCCTCCTCTGATGTGCTCCAACAGCTCCACGTCCCTCCTGTGCTGAGAAAACCCCATCTGGACGCAGCGCTCCAGGTGAGGACTCAGCACAGAGCAGAGGGGCAGATCCGCTCCCTGGCCCTGCTGGCAGCGATGCACCCAGGATACGGTTGGCTTTCTGTGCAGCGGCCGTCGGGCAGCGGGGGAGGCGCTCCGGCCCCACTCCGCTTAGCCCGGCTCCATTCCCTCCGCACGCCATCGCTGCCCCCCGCAGTCACAGCCCCTGCAGGGACAAACGGGCAGACGGGACCGCGCAGAGCCCACGCACGGCTGGTACCGAGCTGCCCCGAGGGGTCGCTCCGTCCTCCTCGGCGGGGCGGCCGCAGTAGCGGCTCGATAGCAGAGGGGAGGGGGGGACGAACAGCAGAGGGGCTGCGCGCTCCCCTTTCTCCGCACTCCCCAACTTCTTCCCCCTCCCCCCAAAAAGTGGGAGATCCCATTGGTCCTGCGAGCCCGCTGGCGCCCAATCAGCGCCGTGTTGCTGTGTAGGGGACGGCAGGATGGGGGCTCGCGTCCCCTTCCTCTTCCTCCTCCTCCTCCTCCTGTTGCTGGGAGGAGCGGTGGCCGGGGCCGCAGCGACGTCCTCCCGGGGAGGAGGGGCGCGGGGTTTTGTCCGGACTCGCCGAGAAGCATAAAGGAGGGGAAAACTCCAAAGCAACTGAAAGCAACTCCGCTGTCCCCTCCTCCCCAGGTGTCCCCGTGGCTTTGTGGGGCACCGCACGCCACACAGCAGCTCCCACAAGGACGGGCAGGGCTTCTCCACAGCCCCCCCAAACCCCCTCACATTTCAGCTCCCAAAGTCCCCAATTCTTTTTCAACATCGTTTCCCACATTTTCTTCCCCTCCTTTCTTCCTCCTCCCCCCTCCCACCCCTTTGAAGCATCCCTCAGCTCAGACCTACCCAGGCCGCTCACAAACAGCCCTTCACCACCACATTTCTCCCCGGGATTTATGTTTCAACACCACCATCCCAGACATTACCCTCTGGGGACACAGATGAGAACGAAGCAAAGGACAGCTGTGACCCAAAGCCACTCCCAGGACGCGAGTGCTGGGCACAGCACACACACCCCGTCCTTCAGCATTTCCCTTTGCTCCATTCTCCCCAGCCTTAACCTAAAACCTTTATTGTTAGGATGTTAGGATGTGTTGGTGCAGACAGAGCCATCGGGATTTCTGCTTTTTTCTGATTTCTGCCGTGCCACATTTCTCACGCTGATGCTGAGGACAAAAGGGCTGAGTCCCACACACACGGCTGTCTGCAGACGAGCAGCAATAAAGGTTGATTATTAATAAGCCACATGGATTTGGGCCACGGCTGCTGCGACATTGCTGGGAAGAGATAAAGAAAATTGCAGAGGTAGAGGGAAAACATGCCAGGGGAGGGGGGGGGGGGAAATAGTGTGTTCCCAGCAGAGATCAACCGGACCCCGAGCACTGCGTGGTCCCACATTATGGAGGAGAATGAGGATTGGAGACTACCCAGCTCCCACTCCTCCACACCAGGGCTAAAGATTTGGGATGTGGGGTTTCAATGCTCAGGCAGCACTCAGTGCAAAAGCTTTGGGGACTGCTGGGCAGCCCAGTGCCCCCACATTGCGGAACCTCAGGACAGAGGGAAGGGCAAGAAATTCCCAATCTGTTTGGCTCCCATTCTTGCCTCCCCTTTTGTTCCACTCGCCATCTGTCCCGCAGCCCCACACACCCTGCGCTCCCTCTGCGCGTGCTGTAAATATCAAGCTGGGTTTTGTCTCTGCTTCTAAAGGCACCGCGCACCCAGAGCTGTGCTGCAGCCCCAAGTGCCAGCCTTAAAGCTTCAAGGGCTGGCACTGCCGGGGGTCCTGCTGCTCCTTCCTGACTACTGGGATCAGGGGCGCACAGCCCTGCTGTGCTGCGCTTCTCGGGGATTTGGAAGTGTGCCGTTCCCTCTCAGAGCCATCCCTGGGTGAGAAGGGGTCCCAGTCCCTCTCTAGGGGAGCAGCACCCCAGCTGCTGTCCCAGCCTGGACGCGGCCTTTTAGCTCACAACAAAGCCACCAACTCGTCAGCAAGGGCAGCTGCTCCGCTTCAGCCCGGTCCTTCCCCTTCCCCGTTTTATCTGGGGCTATAATAGACACAAACTCGCGGTAAAAGGGTATTGTCAGAGGGAAAATGGGCCTCACCCTCCGTCTGGCAGCTGGGAGCCGGGAAGGCGCGGGGCTCAGGGGCATTGTTGCCGTTTCCATAAGGCGTTTCCTGGCGTGTCCCGGAGGAGCACACAGCGTGTCACCAATCCCAGCTCACTCAGTGGGTAACGGGGCACAGAGAAAGCCCTACATTCCTCACATGGCTCTGAACCCCCACCTGGCAGAGTTCTTCAGGGGCTCAGCATCCCAAACAAGGACCTGTGGGAAGCGGTGATGCTCCCATCCCAGGGCCGGCCAGGCACTGTGTCCCCACTGCTGCAGTCCCTCGGTGTGCTTTGGGAATGGGAGTAGGGCACAGCGTCTCCAGGGACATTAGGGCACAGCTCTGTCCCTATGGTTCGTGCCCCACAATGTGCTGGGACACTGCACTCCTCCCAGCTCACAGAGTGGAGAACAGAAGGGTTCAGGACCAGGTTGCCCAGCGCCAACAGACTCCTCAAATAACAATAATTACCATTAGAATATTTAATAAGAACAGCATGCAAAGCAGCAAGCTCTGCCCTGACCTGCACAGTGTGGGGAGGCCGCTTTTCTCCACAGCCCTTCTCTTGGAAAACAAAAGGTGCAAAGTTCAGTGGTGCATGAAAGAGAAACAAAACCCGGCCCCAGCCACAACTCCCCCACCCCCCCCAGCAGACAGATGGCAGCAGTTGTCCCCGCACACCAGTTGCTCACTGTTGCCAATAAGCCCCTTTATCCCCCAACAGGTCATAAATGAGAGCGTTGGAGCTCAGCAGCCGCTGTCATGGAGGGGCTGGAATGGGGACAGAGACAGGAATAGGGATGGCAACAAGGATGGGGATGGGATGGTATAGGAATGGAGAAAGAGATGGGGATGGGGATGGGGACAGGAATAGGTACAGGGATAGGATAGAGATGGGATGGGGATAGGGCAGGAATGGCGACTGAAATGGGGATGGGGACAGGGATGGTTCTCCCCATGGGATGTGCAGTGCAGAACAAAAAAAGCAGCTCCGTGCCGCCTGCCCATCTGTCAAGGCCCCAGGAGTCACAGTGGGAGGGTGGCTGGGGTGAGGCAGCCCCCAGGATCCCATTCCCCTGTTTTTATCAAGGATTGGAAAAGGGTGATCTTCTCAGTGCTGGTGGGGACACACAGCCTTAGGGTCAGAGCTGCAGGGAGCTCAGGCTCTGCTCTGCAGATGGTGCGAGGGGAAGGGAGGAAAGCTCTGTCAGGAAAGAGGGCAGGCAGGGAGCATGGCCTCCCAGCAGGGCTGCTCTGCCAGCCCTGCCGAGGGGCAGAAACCAGCAGGAATTCACACACAGCACAAGACGTGGGTTTGCCGGAGCTGGTGCTGCTGCAGCCCCTCCAACCACACAAAGCTCCGTCCCGTTGCTGGGCCACGTGAGCGCAGTTTCTCCAGCTCTGGCAGATCCTGGAAGATGGTTTGAGCTGCGCACACCGCAGGTGACGGCGTGCCCTGGGCATCCCCTCCCATCCTCAGGGCTGGGGCAGAGCTGCTGCATTGCCCCAGATACAAGCACCCACGCAGTGCTGATTGGCCTCAGCTGAGCCGACATCGCCGCTCCCGTCCCAGTGGCAAACCCCGGGCAGGAAGCACCTGGAGGAGTCTGACCCCACGCCGTGTGCTGGGGCGGGTGGAGGCTGGGTTTCACTTCTGCTGATGTTGCTTTTCTGGTAAGTTAGAAGTGAGAAATGTTCGGCTTCTGCTAAAGGGACCCCTGGAAAGAGTGCAAAATGAACACACAAAAATCCAATAGTATTTTGTCGGGAATTGAGCAAAATATCTTCACGTAGTCTGTCTGCAGTGGTCGCTGCCAGGTCAGGACTTTTTCCGCAGCTCATTTGGACTTTGCACAAATGGCATTTTTCCAACAGACAGCCCCAACCCGGCGGACAGTGGGCAGAGCGAAGGGCATCGCGCAGTGCTCCGGCCCAGGACACGTCGAGGATGAATGCTGGTTTGTGCAATGTGCCAATTGCTGGTGGCTGGGGGAACCGACCAACCTGGGCTCTTTGAGTCAGACATTTCCAGCAAACATCCAAATTAAAAAAAAAATAATAATTAAAAAATCCCAGCAGAAATCCAACAAAAAGCTTGGCAGAAGGAGTGTCAAAATGGTAACAGGAGGTGGGGAGCAGCAGTTGTGCCTTTATTTACTTCCAGTCTGTCCTGAGCTGGTCCTGGGGTGTCACCCTGCACCCCTCCCCAGCCCAGAGCCGATCCTGAGGGGCCGCGATCCGACCAGAAGGAAAATGACGAGCAAAATAAAAATAGGAGATGAGTCACCTACGAGAAGGCTGGTGGGCAGACCTGGCGGCTGTGCCGTAGTGCTGCCTCCTCACTGAACACTCCTCTACGTGAGAGCTGTGTTTTTATCCAGGCTGGGAGCACTCCAGTTTTGGGCCATCGCAGCTCTGCTTGTGAGGACTCAAACGGTGGTGGCTGCAGCCCTGCAAGAGCCCAAACAGAACCCATGGGCACAGCGGGGGCACGGGCTGTGCTGGCCCCCGGATCATGCATACAGCAAATGGGCGCCAGCCCACGACTCTGTGCCTTTGAACCCACATGACTCCAATGTAATCAGCAACCAACGGACGCCCATTCCTCCCTAACAGCCCTGTTTCACAAATAGCAGCAATTTGGGTGTGCTTATTGAAACTAATGAAGGGATGAGTTCAAAAAGGAGTGGCCTTGACAGAGCACCAAAACCAACACACCAACTGTTTTCCAGGCAGGATAAAAGCAGGAGGGGGACATGGCTCTGCTCCCAGGCCAGTGCCCACACCAGCATCACTTCTCTGGAAGCCACCAGGGAGCAGCTGGGGGGTAGCAGTGCCCACAGTCCAAAAACTTTTGGCAAGTTTGGGACCAAAGCTAGCACCTACGTAGCCTGGCTCAGCTCAGTATCCCTAAATAAGGTCAGCACGAAGAGGAGGGATGAAGCACACAAGCCACACAGTGAGCAAGCTGCAGTCACCAGCCTGGGCACAACTGAAACAGGATCTGCCATGAATCAGCCCCAGGTGCCTTTGTCGTAACAGCCCTAAGCACTGCCCCGACATTGCGATCCTCTGATCCCTCAGCCTTCCTCCTGCTGACTCAGCCACCCCTGGAAGGAAGGCAGGAAGGGAGCAGAGTGGCACTCCCAAATACCCAGGAACTGCCCTATGCCTGGCTCAGCTCATTACCTGCTCATTTCCAAGGTGAACAGCAGCTCTAGCATCAAGTAAGCGACCCGGCAGGCAGCTTTATGCCCTTTGTGCTCTGTACTAAGCCCCCCAGCTGCCTCTGTGGGACAAGCCAAGGCAGCCCCAGGGAGAAGGGCAGCACCCCACAGTCCCACGTTACTCATCAGGCCCAGCCCCCAGCTCTGCAGGGCCATGCTCCCAGCATGTTGAGTAAGCAGGTTTTTCTAAACCTCCTCCGTGACGCAGGCAGAGAGAAGCAGCCACCCACACTAACAAGGCCCAGCAGCTCTGCGTGGTCACAGGGTGGGATGGAGGCTGCAGCCCACCCCCACTGTCAGCCCAGCAAGGAAATGAGGCTCAGCAACGCTGCTACATTTTTATTAAAGTAACAAAAGCATAAGGATCTGTACACTCTGTATATAAAAACACTACTGTACAATTAGTAACCATCCATCTCTTCCTCCATGTGTAGCTTACAAACGTCCCACCACATCCACCCAATAAAAAAAGCAGGTCCCGGTCAACAGTCCAGCTTTGTTTAAACAGTGAGAGAACCCCCCCAGCTCCCAAACACCTTCTGAAAACACACCATTCAGGCTTGTGGGCAAGAAGGCAACAGCACAGTAATTCACAGCTTTTACAAGGAACCAGCTACAAGAGGAAGGGGTTGCACCTGAATTTGATTGGGCTTGAAGCTACCAAGACACTTGAACGTGAGGCTCCTCCATGCCAGGGACAAGGAACGGGACGTGACAGCTTTTGTGTCAGAAGCAGGAGCAAAGTAAGTGCAACAGCACATTCCTTTGGTGTGGGCTGTTCCTCTGAACTTCTTTTCTGCTAAGAGGGAGGGAACAGTAACGGGGAGGCAGACATTAAAGCCCAGGGAAGCCCACACCCAGCCACAAGGGCCAAAGCAAACAGCATTTGTCCTGAGCACACTGCAGTTCCCACACCAGCAGATTGGAAGCAAGAACTACAGAGAGCACCCTGATCTTTTCTCTGCTGAAAAGGGAACTTGGTTTTCGGTAGTTCCCAGCGCTCTCCTCTTGGTGATGTCACCTATTGCAGCAGGGGAAAAGTCCCAGCGCTTCAGTTCAGCTTCTGCTTCGCTGCTGTGAGGAACTGAAGTGATGCAACTCCTGAGCCACCGCCTCATACAGCTCAAGGACAAAGTAACACCACTTGACATTTAATCAAAATGCTGGTTTTCCAGTTCAGGAAATCATTATTTGAAACTGCTACAGGAATCTGTAAGTTTTCCCACATAAGTAGTAGTCAGAGTTGGGGAGCTGCACTTCTTTGTTTTCGTGTATTGAGAAAAAAGCCAAGCAGCAGACAGGAGGCTTCCTTCCTCTCCCAGAGCATCCATGGTTTTGAAATATATTGCACAATTGTCTGAGAACTTGAACCCAAGGCCGGGAAAGAGCAGCTCCGGGATGCCAGTCAGCTGCTGGCTCAGGAAGGAGGAAGGTTACAATAAAAGCATTCTGCAAAACAGATCTGAGGAAGTTTCATTAGAACAGGCCATGTCAATGCCCTGAATTTCCCCATCACTTCTACTGGGATCACTGGAGGAGCACCAGCTGTTCTTAAGAAAGGCAATGGATCTCATGCTGGTGAAGGCTCATTCCCCACAGGCAGTGTTTGGGGCAGCATTTTCGGTTCCCACCCCACCTGCAGAAGCCAGAGGGCCAAACACCTGAACACCACTCAGGCAAACCTCCCTGAACAAAAAGTACCAGTGAGAGGAGCTCTGCTTCAGGAGGTGAAGGGCCAGGCACTGTACAAAACAGGTACCAAGAAACCAGAACCAGGTACTGCCCCTCTGAGGTCTCAGCTGGGGCAGCTCCAAGGCTCAGCCACGTGCTGAGCACCCAGGGGAGGAAGGGAAGGAGGAAAAGATGTGAATTTAAAACCAGCATGGACACCAACCCCAGGCAGCCACAAGCACAGGGGAAGAGTCTCCCAATACTTTTAGATTTAAAGAGAGAGGGCAAGAGGGGAACTTACACAGCAACTTCTAGGGCGCAAGGCGAGTTGCTTCAGCTCTTCCAGAGAAGTGATGCAGAGTGGGATCAGCATTGAATTAGGCAACTTCTACACACAAGAGGGGACACAGCTGCAGGGCACAGGCTGATGTCTGAACCCGATGGAGGAGTGCAGCTCAGTGCTGGTTTCAGGGCCTGGAGCAGCCCCCCAGCGAGCAGCAAGCTGTGGTGACAGCCAGGTGCTGGGCAGCACCAGGAACAAATAGCACCGGGTGCCACCACAGCATTTACAGTATTGGGAACCTCCACTGCACAGGTTCCCAGCACCACCCAGCCCCTGGGGGTTACCAAACACCATCCCCAGGGAGATCAGACCAGCTTGGCCATGAGTTAGTGAAGGAAACGCAGTAACTCTCTCATCCATTCCTTAACAGCACTGCAATGCTTGGCGACACCACGGCACTGCTGGGTACCAGGATGGAGAGGAGGTGACACTCAGGTCCTGTCACCAGCCACACTTCCCAGCTGGCCTCTCCTTCCCCTCTTCCTTCATTCCAAGCTGCCCAGTGAGCAAGCCAGCTCACCAAAACTGCCATCCAACACTAATTAGGTAGATATCAGCTTCATAATAAAAACCTCAAGCCTGCAACAGCTTTTTAAAAAAAGGCACCTAAAAGCACTGCTTCTGTCTGAAGCAGCGCCTGATATTTTAATTTTGATTTTCTTGGATTTTCTTAAAAAATATAAATAGCTCTTCATTTTAAAAATAGATCCTCGGGTGAGGTATACAGTAGCCCATGTCTTGGCAGTGTAAGGACAAGAGGAGTATTTAGCTGGAGACAGTCATGATGTAGTTCTTCGAAGGGCTTGTGCGACCTAACATCATCTGGTTCTTACAGGTAAGCATCCCATAGGAGCTCACAGGCTTGGCTGCTGTTGCTTCGTACAAGACACAGATGGAGCCGTCCTCACCAATGCGGTACGAGACCTCATAGGGGTCCACCCAGAGCGTGAGCTCGCTGGGCAGGAGCTGGTAGAGCTGCGGGAGGCTGAGTCCGATCTGGCTAGCTGCCTTGCTGATAATGGGGTCCATTTTGTGATTGATCCGGATGCAGCGGTACCCAGAGCCTTTGAACGGTTTCTCAGGAAACCAGTGGTGTTTGTAGTGCTCTGCAAGGGAAGCAAGAAGGGAAGCACGGTGAGCAGGCGTGGAGCAGCAAGGTCTGCATCTCACTGCAGTCCCAAGGGGTCCCACATCCCAATGCAGGCAGAGAAACCACATCCTGCTTCGGCCACCTCTGTCACAGCAGCTCCAGAGCAGAGTGCTCAGCTGCCACTTGCAGAACCCAAGGCAGAACGCAGCTCTTCAGGTCCTGGAAAACCCCAGTAGTGCCATGGGGGCACCCCGAAGTCTCCTTACCCTGGGACTGAGGTGGCTGGGGGAGATACAGTATCACCAACAACAAAACCCTGTAGTCAGGGAGGGGCAGATGGATCATTTGGGGCATGCTGCTGCCCCTTATCTTGGCAAAGCAGCAGACAAGTGCCCTCCTTCGGGCTGATAGCACCAAGGCTGTGCTGGGAGGAGAGCCTCACACCACCCGACAGGACACGGGGTGGATCTTCACTTGTCAGGGACTGGGCACAGAGCCCGGCTTTGGTCCCCCAGGGCAACCCCCAGAGAGGGTGCTGAGGGCACAGAGCCCTCCACATGGGACAGACAGACAGCTGCAGAGCTCAAGTACCACAGAGACACGGGCAGGTGCCCACAGGGACATACGTGGATGCCCAACACCGAGGGGGGCACAGCCGGGTAGCAGAGAAGGATGAGGGCAGGAACCAGCTGGGGAGTCCCGACCCCAGGAGCGACACGGAGGCTTCTGGCCTCGACAAAAGGTGCCGAGGACCGGATGGAAGTGGACTCTGCTCGCTCCGGGCCGCCCCCGCAGGGACCACGAAGCTTCAGCCCCATCCTTGGCGGTGCCCAAGGCCACGGATGGGATCCTGAGCAGCTTGAGCTAGTGGGGGAGGGGGCACTCAGCCCACGGCAGGGGATGGGGGAGCACAAGGTCCCTTCCAACGCAACCACGCGGCGATTCCACAGTTCCACGACGGCTAAGGTCCCTTCCGACCCAAATCACATCGCGATTCCACGACGAGCCCCCCCCCGCCCCCCTCACCTGCGAGCGCCTCCCGCAGCGCTCCGCTGAAGACCTGCAGCTGCTGCTCGCTGACGCAGCCCCGCGTCCGCAGCAGCCCGGAGACGAAACCGACGGCGGCGGCGATCTCGGGCAGCATGTCGGCCCGCGGGGGGGGCCCGCGGCGCTGGCTCATGGCTGGTAGGGGAGGGCTGACGGTGGGTGCCTGCCTGCCGGCTGCCTGCCCGCTCGGCTCTGCGCGGTGCTGCCCGGCTCAGCTCGCAGTGCCGCCGCCCGCTCCGCTCCGCCGTTAAGTACCGCCGCGCGGGGGGGCGGCAGCGGCGCCTCGGAGCCCATTGGGCGCGCGGAGCGGTATGCAAACAGCGGCTGAGCTCAGCGCGGTGGAAGGAGTGACGTCGGAGCGGCCGTGAGAGGGCGGCGGGGGGGCAGGGATGCTTACGGGAGGGCTATTTTTGGGCCGACCCGGGAGGGGGAGGAGGAAGAAAAAGGGGCCGGGGCCGGGGCTCATCGCGCTGCCGTGCTCCAGGGCAAAGGACCGGGTGGGTGCCAAGAAGGTGGGGGGGAGGGGGGAGGAGGAGAGGGAGAGAGAGAGAGAGAGAGGTCTCCTTGGCAGCTCCGGAGTTGCGGCACCTATGGGTACCCGAGGGGTGCCAGGGGGGTAAGGGGACCCGTTAACGGGTACGACGCGCTGGGAGGGTGAAGCGAAGGCCACTCGCCGTCGAGCTGTCGGCGTCCGGCGACAGACGGGCGTTGCAGGCTGTGCTGCCGAGGATCACTTCCCGGACAGCCGCTTCGGCACCGCCGCGCCTTTGTCCGCGAGGCGGCACTGAGCTGGATTGCAGGGATCGGTCACCCCAGGCTGCCTGTGCCGGGCCCCCGCCGCTGGCCCCGGGACGGACCCGGGGATGCCCTCTCCTCGTTGCACTGCCTCTCCCCAGCGGCCTACGGGCACGCTGCCGCCGCCGCATCTCCTTCCCCAGGTCACGTCCGAGGGTCCACACTCTCCCATCACCCGGTTCTGGATAAGACCAAAGCCGTGGCGGGGTTCCCTGAAACGTGCAGGGAGGATTCGGCATCCTCTGTACTGTCCCACGTGGGTGAGGGGGACATCGCAGCCCCACTGTTTGGCTTTTCTGCCCGGGGCGAGGGCAGCCACCTCCAGCCGCCAGCCCGGACAGCAGGAGCCGGGAGGTGGCTGCAATGGAGGTGGCTGCAGCACAGGGACATGGCACACCACAGAACGGGGAGGGCAAGGCAAGCACAGAGCCCGGACAAGTGTCCTCAGGTGCCTCCATCCAGCCCAGTAGCAGGGGACAGGAGCAGAGCAAGCAGCACACGGCCTTGATGCACAGCAAGATGGAGGCAGCACCCAAAAACCACTACAAAACAGGGAGCTGCAGCAGCCGGCCCCACTGCCAGGATGGAGGCACTCGGCCAGCTTCTGGTGAAACTGGCCTGAAGCTAAAGCAACAGCGGGAGACCAAGCTCTGTTCTTGCCTTTGCTTTGATCCAACATGAGACAGTTGGTATCAAAACAGGATGGGTTTTCTGGATATTCCCTGGCAGAGAGCTGGGGTCGTTTGGAGCCACTGTCTGGCAGCCCCAGATCTCTCCCTTGGTGTGTGCTGGGGAGGATCTGAAGCCACCGTGTGATGCAAACCGTGGTGGAAAGGCATTCTATGGCCAGGGCCTCACCTGGCTCCTCCACAAGCAGCGGCTGCAGCTGCAGGTACCAAAGCAGGCCAGGAGCTCAGCTGGCTGTGAGGGCAGCCTGCAGCTGGGGCATGGCGGTTCCCACAGCACCACTCCTGTCCTGCGCTCACTCCCTGATAAGGCTCCCTGATATGATAAGGTGTGGCTGCCACCGAGCCCTGTGGGGCCCACCTGGGAACCCTGCTTTTGGCAAGAGCCATCTGACAGCACTCTCTGCCAACAGTGGGGAGTTCAATGAGGGTTGTGGGGGGACTTTCCAGCACCTCTTTGCACAGCAGGTCTCAGAAGTCCCAGCTGTTGTCCATGGCTTGAGGTTCAGTTGGATTTTTTGGAAGCTTTTTGCTTCCAGAGTCTGCAGCTCATTTTATTCGCACCTCTGTCATTCCTACCTGCAGGCACTGCGCAGGGGATTTCACACCTTCCAAGGCATGAAACTATGGCTGTGTAGCAATGTATAGCCCAAAAAAAGGAGCGAGGAGAAAATAGCTTTTGAAATCGTGGAAAACTGTAATAGAAGATAATGCCCAAGCAAAGGTCTGTATTGACATTTCTTGTTCTGCACAGCTCAAAAGAAATACTTTGTGCAGCAGCACAGAAGTAGGGTCAAGCAAGCAAGAAGAGGGAGCCAAGGGGTCCTTGGTCCTCTCCTCCCCACTCCATCTGCTGCTCCATTCATCCACAAAGCACAAGGAATCAGGCAAATCTCTCGCTATAAACCAGATTTGCCTTTGTAATCTTTGAAATAAACCTAAGGATTAAAGTCTAAGGACTTTTTTTTTTTTTTAAGTCAGCAACACACATGAAAGAGCAAATGGGTCCATGTGAAACCCAGCGCAGGGCACGGTGCAGGGCAGTGCGTTTGTACTGGAGCAGCAGCTGGGGGCCCTGGAAGAAGCTGCACAAACACACAGAGCGAGGCTGTCAACACAGAGCTTGATTACTTTAAACACACCTGTTCTGTCAGCCAGCAAACACACTTGGAGAGCGTGGATGCAGTCATAAGCGGCACGAAATTAGGAAGTAAACAAAGCCATCCTCGTAGAGGACACCTTTGTACAAATGCATTGGGAAAAGCCAAAGCAAAAACAAACTTTTCTACCACAGTAAAAGGCAGGAGAGCTGAACTGTGCTTGCAGCCTGACTGAGCAAGCTAGGAAAAGGGGCTGTTCCCCCATCCGACAGAAGGAGCTAATTAAGAAGTACTGGGATGGCATCACCCAGAACTGAGTCAGTAGAAGAGGCCCTCAGAGCTCCGTCTGCCAAGAACAGCACTCATTGCACCCGCCGGTTTGTTCACCACCGGGGCTCACAGTGTTCCCTAAGTGCTGCTGAAGCTCTGCCCTTGGCAAGCAGGTTCCCCTGGTCCCCCTTGCTCCACAAGTGGGTGCAGTCAGCAGTGGCACCATTCTCCCAGTTGAGATCCTCCATTTGTCCTCAATCTCCGCGTTAATGCAGGCTCCCCTCACACTGCTCAGGGCCTTTGTCTTCTGTGTTCGATGGTCTGACGCGGCCCCAGGCCCTGCAATCAGATTGTCTTCCTTAAGCCCTTCCAATAGGAGATTTCCTGTGGAGCTGAAGGATCTCTAAGCGGGTTACTGCCCATAACTTCTGGCCCTGTTACAAGAAGACTGCGGTCTTAAAGACAGGGCATAGGCTTAATACACACTCTCAAATTGCTTTGAGGAGTTACAGAGTAAACAAACAATTAGAAGATAAAATTCATTTGAAAAACAGAAGTTAGAGCTGTTTTAATGTCAGTCTGGCCAGATTCGGTTCTGCCCTGCGTCAGCTGGAAATGGCTGAGAGCATTTTGATATCAATTTAAAATCAAACAAACAAACAAAACAAAACCACCAATAAACCTCTCCATAGTGATTGGCCAGGCTAGATTTGTAACTGGTTTGATGGGAGTTAAACATCCGATAGGCTTTCAAACACTTTGGCCCTGTTTATCCAAATGAGGTTCAAAACCAGTTGAGCTGGAAAATTTACAATAAAAGGGTAATATTTGGCTTTCAATGAAGGGTTCAAATTCAGCATGGACAGAACAAACTGCTCACATGGCTCGGGCTTTTCCAGAGTCAGCAACTCCGGTGTTTTATGTACACCTAAGAGGCGACTGTTCCCACGCTGTGCTTTCATCTGCCGGGTTTGGAGGGCACCTGTTTACACGTTGGGCTGCAGCTCATAAGGCGTTGGACACAAAACCCAGGTTTTGAATATCAGAAGAGTCAGCTGCCAGTCAGAGCCACAGTGTGAATCTGCAGCCCTTGCTATCAGCAGTGAAATAGTTACACACAGAACTCACATGCAAATCCGCCTGATTAGACATGTCCCACCGATTGCTAAATTAGCTGTCACTTCTCCCAGTTGGGTCCCTCCCAATTACTCCAGCATTTGAGGAAAAACTGTAAGGTTATCTGTGCGGATGCAGGAAGGCTTTCTTTAAGTTAAAAAAAAAAAGTTAAAAGTTTCCAGAAGCTTCAAATCTCATTATCTGGCTCTGCCGGAGACGGCGCAGACATCGTGATGGTGCTGCCAGCAGCCACCTGGTTGCTAACATGGGTTAAGCATGATCAGTTGGAATTTAAGGGGAAAAAAGCCCAGGGGTAAGCAGGGCGAGTGTGTTTAATCATAGCTGTAATTGGTAACCTGGGTCTGACCCCAGAAACAGGCCTAGCAGGCAGGGTAAACAATAAAGCAAGAGTCTTAAGCCCAACCTACACTTAGAGCTAATAAGGCCTTTCAAAACACACAGTTGTGAAATATGGCTGTGACTGAGCCATGTGAAACGCAGTTGAGAGTGGGGAAGGAGCCGGGCAGAAAACAAAGACTTTTTAACCTGTCAGCTACTGAGATTAGTCCTCACTCTGCAGCATGTATGGATTCCTGGCAGCATGAACCGGAGCCAGAACTTGCCCTAGCCAGGCCAAGCTCCAAGGAGCTCAGCATCCCACACCTGCGCTTCACTGAGCACCTTGCACCTTGCTGAATGGCTGCTGGCAGCTCGGTCCTCTCTTGTCCCAGTTCGTGCTGTCCATCACCTGGCTCCCTCCCACAGTGCCTGTGCAGCTGCAGCACGGGACAGATGGCTGGAAGCACTGTGGGTTGTTCCATCGGGCAGTTCCATCTGCAGGCTATCAGGATGCTGAATATTCCCCTCTGCCTCATCCACAGAGGGAACGGAGCGAGGGCTGGATGTTCTCCAGCATTTTGGGAGCACAGCCCAGGGCTCCAGCCGCCTGCCGCGTCCCCAGGAGATGCCTTTCACCCAACAACCTCCCTCTGAGCCTCTTTCCTTATAGCAGGCCATATTTCCTCATGGAAAACAGCCTATCTGGCCCACTGCAAACGTCACATCTGTTCAAAAGTATTTTAAGAAGCAAACATTGCTGCACTCAAGGGAGCCACAAGCAAAGTATCTGCTTTTTCTCCTGATTTCTTAGGACTTTGGGCCTGGTTTCCAATGGTGCTCAACACTCACTGGCTCCATGTGCCATCAGCACAGTCTGGGGGTTCTCCTCAGCCTTCCCAGCTACTTGCTGAACCCATATTACAAGT